GGGAGGATTGTTAGGAGTTGTCCTAATTTTATTACCATATTTGGTTTTCCTATCTCTTAAGGAAATGACAACATGTTTACCATAATTGGGTTTTCCTATTCTTAGAAGGAAATGAAGAGTCCCTTTTCTTGGTGGAAAAGGTTTCGACTTCTATAAATTGAGGATCCTTCCTTCTTATTCAGTAGCACCCACAATGTAGCCATATGGGGTTTGAGAGTCGTGCTTAAGGAGAGAAATTTACGGGATAACTTTTAGTGTGTCACTTTTGTTTGCCTCTTCGTGAGATTGTTCTCTCGATATTTTGTACTCTTTTTTATGTAGTGGATTGCTCATTTTCGATATGGACATAGGTCAATTGACCGAACCACGTTAAATATTTGAGTCTCTTTTGGTAGATTTCTCTTTTATTATCTAATTTATCGTCGTTCACGGTTTGCTTTACTAGATTCCGTATGACACCTGATTATTTCGGTCCTAACAATTGGCATCAAAGCGAGGTTCAAGACAGGTTCATCTTGGCGGGTTTAGTTCTATCCCCGCAACATATTTGACGATAATCATGATTTTTGTCTGAAAAAAGTTGGCTGGAATGCTACGCACATTGAGACAAACTTTGCCGTGGAGATTTTGAGATGCGGCCTGTTAAAGGTTATGTGAAGAAGGTTGATCAGGTTTGTTTTGCCAGAAAATTCAGGCCAAGGGGGAGGATTGTTAGGAGTTTTCCTGATTTTCTTACCCTATTTGATTTTCCTATCTCTGGAAGGAAAGGGCGACATGTTTATCATAATTGGGTTTTCCTATTCTTATAAGGAAATGATGAGTCCCTTTTCTTGGAGGAAAAGGTTTCAACTTCTATAAATTGAGGATCATTCATTCTTATTCAATAGCATCCACAATGTAGCCATATGGGGTTTGAGAGTCGTGTTTAGGGAGAGAACTTTACGGGACAAGTGTTAGTGTGTCATTTGTGTTTGCCTTTTCGTGAGGTTGTTCTCTTGATATTTTTGTACTCTTTTTTATATAGTGGATTGCTCATCTCCGACATGGACGTAGTTCAATTGACCGAACCACGTTAAATATTTCAGTCTCTTTTGGTAGATTTCTTTTTTGTTGTCTGATTTATTGTCGTTCAATGTTTGCTTTACTAGCTTCCGCATGACACCTGATTATTTCGGTCCTAACAATTGGCATCAAAGCGAGGTTCAAGACAGGTTTATCTTGGCGGGTTTAGTTCTATCCCCGCAACCTATTTGACGATAATCATGATTTTTGTCTGAAAAAATTGGTCGGAGTGCTACGCACGTTGAGACAAATTTTGCCGTGGAGATTTGGAGATACGGCCTGTTGAAGGTTATGTGAAGAAGGTTGATCAGGTTTGTTTTGCCAGAAAATTCAGGCCAAGGGGAAGGATTGTGAGGAGTTGTCCTAATTTTCTTACCATATTTGATTTTCCTATCTCTTGAAGGAAAGGGCGACATATTTACCATAATTGGGTTTTCCTATTCTTAGAAGGAAATGAGGAGTCCCTTTTCTTGGAGGAAAAGGTTTCCACTTCTATAAATTGAGGATCCTTCATTCTTATTCAGTAGCATCCATAATGTAGCCATATGGGGTTTGAGAGTCATGTTTAGGGAGAGAACTTTACGGGACAAGTGTTAGTGTGTCACTTGTTTCGTGAGGTTGTTCTCTCGATATTTTGTACTCTTTTTTATATAGTGGATTGCTCATCTCCAACGTGGACGTAGGTCAATTGACCGAACCACGTTAAATGTTTTAGTCTCTTTTGGTAGATTTCTTTTTTGTTGTCTGATTTATTGTCGTTCAAGGTTTGCTTTACTAGCTTCCGCATGACACCTGATTATTTCGGTCCTAACAGAAATCACATCAGTAGATCAAGATAAATCAATAATTTGTTAAGAGTTTGAGTGGTCAAAGAAGAATTTCACTAATAGAAAAATCTTGAGAATAATAGAGGACGAGATGAAATTAGAGAATGGTGCATATATAGTGATGATATATTTGTCGAAGAAAGAAGACCGAAAATGGGTTGTTACTACGCTCATCTCAAACCATAATCATGAACTTGCTTCTCCGATCAAAAAGAAAAAGGATTAAAATGCAGCATGACTAGGTAAAAATCTCGTGGATTAATGTCATCTCAGTATTTGACCAACTTGTCATAGAGCAATCAACAATGTTCATTTTGAGGTCGAGTAAATATGTTCAATATCTCAAGAAATGAAGGCCTGAGGCATAACTGAAGCGATGTGGCATCTGGTTATTGTAGAACAAGAGATTAATTTATTTCATGACAAAAATACCCTTATAAAAAATTTATATATACCTAACGTCTCGTCTCTTTATTTTCTTCTACGGACCTCTAATATATATACCGTTTTCCGTATTCTGTAAATCGCTGATGCCCCCAATTACGTTGCTTCTTTTACTATTATGCTAAATTGGAATAACGTATTGTTATGCACTGGGAAGTAAAATGTTAGGAGTAGTTTAATAGTTGGTGACTTCTATATGGATTTCAGCGGCAATAATCAATTGCCATTAAGCTTAGTATAAAAAATATTATATTGAAATATGTGCTACTGCCAACTACAGTGGAATATGGTGTTCTCTTGACACAGAATGCCATTCTTCGATTTTGTCTATATTTTGGGTGAAAAACTCATGTAAATTGCTTTCTCCATCCAAATTTCTCTATGGTGTATCATAATATTTTTTCTGCAGATCTCTTCTTAGTATTCATTACATTTTTTTATGCATAGTGACAAGAGTAAGAATTGTCACAAGATAACAATATTGAAAAGGCCAAATTTAATGCAGAAATCATAGAATTGTTTTTGAATTTATGTGTGGAAAAAATTATGGTGGGAAATCATCCTGACGCTAAATAGGATGGTCTAATTTGGTGAGGAAATTCAATGTCAAAACTGGAAAAAAAAAAAATGAAAGGATCAAGTGAAAGAACAAATGGGATAATCTTAAAACTATTTGGAAAGACTAGATGCTCTAGTTGGAAAGAAGACTTCATTAATTAGGGTCGGACTTTGAGAAAAAGACAATTCAAGTGCGTGTTGAATAGTGGGATAGGAAGTTAAAAATATTTAGAGTTCTGCTATTTAGTTTCTCTTAAACATAATGATGTATTATTATTTTGTCTCAAACACTAAATTTTTTCTATTGTTCTTTCATCAATCCAAATATAGAAAAGGAGATAAAGGTTTATGGTGGCGAGACAGATAGAGTTTAAGAACGTTGTTGCTGCTGGTGAATATGCATGCGCACCATTAGGTGGAGTGTTATCAAATGACATACAAGAAAGTAATTGCTTTCAACTTGAGCAATCATTCGAGTTTGGAACTCCTACAAATAATGAAGAGGTTGTGGATAATGATGCAAGAAAGAATACGGATGATTAATTGGATCAAATTAATCTAGAAGAACCAAAAGTAACTGAAACGTGTAGTTATAAAACCAGGAAATGAAAGGGTTCAACTGAAGAGGAAAAAAATCAATTCAATAAGTTTGAGGATTAGCGCAGCAATGGAGAGAAATGCAGAAGCTATGGAATCACGCTCTTCAATGATTATGGGGCCAAGAGATAGTTCACTTAGTTTTAAGAGTGGTATAGATGTTGTTCGTAATTTTCCTGGTATGATTGTTGATGGTGATTTATTGTAGTAAGCGAGTATGTTACTCGTCGTAGTCACACAACCTATGAGAGAAATATTTTTCGCATAGGAAGACCCAAAGTTACAATTGCAGTGGTTGGAAAAAATGGTTGAGCTTCACGAACAATAGAATTTAGTTTGGGAGTGTTATTTCTTTTCACTTGCATGAGTTGTGAATTTGTACTTTCTACAATTTTTGCTTGGGTCTTACTTGCAGATATGTCCTTGAATAAAAAATAGCGAAGATGTTGATGAAGACGTTCTTATAGGTGATATTTGACTTTGGCAATTTGCTGTGTAGCTCTTGCATCGGAGTATTACTTCAATTCCATAAGAAAATCCATTTCCCTCTTCTTTTTCTTGTGTGTTAACAAAACTAACTGCGAATGCAGCTTTGCTAGACCTGTAGGTTGTTACTGCAAGTTAAGTTCCGAATTCTTCTAACATAGAAAGCCCAGGTAAGTAGGGGTGTTCATGGTTCGGTTTGGATCGGTTTTTCCCTAAAAATAAATCAAACCAAGTAAGTCGATTTTTCAAATATTAGAACCAAACCAAACCAATTAAGTCGATTTTTTCTCGATTCGGTTTATGTCGGGTTTTGTCGGTTTTTTGGTTTTTTCGGTTATTTATCGGTTTTTTCTTAAATATATGACATACACTACCAAACACATATTCCGGCGACCACATTTTCAACGTAACACTATCAAATGAATTGCCCTTTGAGAAATCTATTATTCACTAAAATATATTGATGATAATTGAATCAAATAGTGATGAATAATTTAAGGACTCAATTAAAAATATATTTTTAATAACATGAAATGGTTTCCTATACTTAACAAAAGAAAACTACCAATCAAACTAGAATATAAAGGTAAAGAACTGTACTAAAAGTGCAAACGATTAACATTCACCATAAAATTTTTGAAACTTTGTAGAAAAATATACATATATATAGGTGTAATAATAAATTTGAAATAGCTACTCCTATAGTCGGTTTGGTTCGATTTTTTTCGGTTATTTTTTTATTAAAACCAAAACCAAACCAAATTTGATCGGTTTTCAAAATTCAAAACCAAAACCAAACCAAACCAAAAAGTATCGGTTTTTTTGGTCGGTGTGGTTTGATTTTCGGTTTGGTTCGATTTTTCGGGTTTTTATGAATACCCCTACAGGTAAGGCACTCAACAAAGTGTCAAATTCGAGTGCCTGCTGTCTTCTGGCTCCCTTCAGTTGAATTTATTTTCTTCCTTCTTTTTAGAGAAAGGGATAGGGAAACAGATTAAGAATGACCTAATATTTAGCAGAGCAAAGGAAAAGAAACAGAGAATAACATCTAGTTAAAAAAGCAAACCCCTTAAAGTTGGTCATTCAACAGTAGTAGAATACTTCAAAAACCAAAAACAAGTCCAACAACAAAACCATTAGAACAAAGACGGTAGGGCATCTCATATAAAACCCCAGCAGCACTTCAATCCTCAATAGTCACCACCACGAAGGCGAAGCACAAGGTGGAGTGTGGATTCCTTTTGGATATTGTAATCTGCAAGGGTGCGCCCATCCTCCAGCTGCTTACCAGCAAATATGAGCCTCTGCTGATCTGGTGGGATCCCTTCTTTATCCTGAATTTTGGCCTTGACGTTGTCAATAGTGTCAGAGCTCTCCACTTCCAAAGTGATGGTCTTTCCTGTCAAAGTTTTGACAAATATCTGCATACCTCCCCTCAAACGCAACACCAGATGAAGTGTCGACTCCTTCTGTATGTTATAATCAGCAAGTGTCCTTCCATCTTCAAGTTGCTTCCCTGCAAATATCAACCGCTGCTGGTCTGGGGGAATCCCTTCCTTGTCTTGAATTTTGGCCTTCACGTTATCAATTGTGTCTGAACTCTCAACCTCCAAGGTGATAGTTTTTCCTGTCAAAGTCTTGACGAAGATTTGCATGCCTCCCCTCAGACGAAGCACCAAATGAAGGGTTGATTCCTTCTGAATATTGTAATCTGCAAGGGTCCTTCCATCCTCGAGTTGTTTCCCAGCAAATATCAACCTCTGCTGGTCTGGAGGAATACCCTCCTTGTCCTGGATCTTTGCCTTTACATTGTCGACGGTATCTGAGCTCTCAACTTCAAGGGTGATCGTCTTGCCCGTTAAAGTTTTAACAAAAATCTGCATGCCACCACGTAGACGGAGGACAAGGTGGAGGGTAGACTCCTTTTGAATATTGTAATCAGCAAGAGTTCGGCCATCTTCAAGCTGCTTTCCAGCAAAGATCAGCCTCTGCTGGTCTGGGGGAATCCCTTCCTTGTCTTGAATTTTGGCCTTCACGTTATCAATTGTGTCTGAACTCTCAACCTCGAGAGTAATGGTTTTCCCAGTGAGTGTCTTTACAAAGATCTGCATCTGAAAGGACAACGAGAAACTATTATTACCACTTAGAATCTAACTTAAATATTTAATTGTCTCAAGGACACCAGAACAAGAGTTTCATAAAGGCACAAGCAATCTCAATGCAGTTAGGTTCTCCTAATTACTGAAACATAGTACACAAGCAACCATATATACAAAGTTTAGGACAAAGAAATCATGTAAGATAACCAACCAGTACTTAAAAGAAAAGGTACATCTGCACACAATTGAAACAAGATGGTAAAACACATCATAAAGTCTGGAAGCAAAAGCAATTATTCAATGTCAAGATCCAACTTGTTTTACATAGACGATAGAACCAAGTGAAAATATTATCCATTCTTTGTCCCTCTCCTTCAAGGACAAGGATCAGGATGAAGCGCGCTTATTTGATTAGTCCTCTATCTAAGTTCGTTTGTGATGAAATCTTTTCCTACTCAGGCTTAAGCTTATTCTCGTTATCCGATCATCATGGATTCATGGAAAAATGTATATCAATTAGACAGTAGACCAAGTTAGTATATGTAAGCGATATATCATGAGTCAGCAGCATCAACCACCTTACAATCATTTACCGCTCAGTTTTCTCTAATTATGTTCGTGATCAGAACAGAATTTGATCAACCTAAATCAAAACAAGCCTATGTAACAGCAACTATCGAACCATCAAACCCTAAGGGTCATCAAATTCCTAGTGAAAACTTGGGAAATATCAGTTAACCGAAGAAACGTGTCACACACAGATCCATCACATTCCAATACATCAAAAAAAGGAAAAAGTTACCATAATAAGCAAAAACAACGAAAAAAAGGCAACAAACCCTAGCTCAACAAATTCATAACTTCCATAAGCAAAATCGAGAATTTACACATGAATTAATCGAAGAACAATGTCGATTGCAGTGATTCACCAAGTTTTGATAAATCAAACACACAGAAAAAAACTAAAAGGACAATATAATCTGACATGTTTCTCAACAAAAAACCACATATAGATCATTTCAAATCGCAAAAATTAAGAGAGAAAAAGAAGAATTGGAGATGCTTACCTTGAGAAGAAGAAGAAAAAGAGTCGGGAGAAAGTTCGGTTGTTACGCAAAAGGAGAGAAGAATTTGTTTGTGAAGTTGTGAATGGAACGAAAAGGAAGAAGGGTGAGTTTATATAGGTGATGTATTGGGCTGAAAGAGCGTGAAGGAATGGTCAAAGTCGCCTACGCCAATTTTTCTATCGAATGTTCCAGAAAAGACTAGGGAAAAAACTTAGTCCCTCCGTTTCAAATTAAAATAACATAATTTGACTCGACACCGAGTTTAAGGAAAAAAAAAAGACTTTTGAAATTTGTGGTCTTAAAAGCTTAAGGGGTAAAGCTTTGTGGGGCCATGACTTTTGTGTGGTTATAAAAGCTTCTCATTAAGGGTAAAATAGGTAAAATGAAGAGTTTAAAGTTGAATTATTTCCAAATTTAGAAATGTGTCATTTATTTTGGAACAGACTAAAAAGAAAAGTACCTCATTTAATATGAAACGAAGGGAGTACTAGTCTATGCTGGGGCTAGGGCTATGCTAATTGCTAAACCATGAATATTTTTAACGGAAAAGGTCCAAATATATCCTTTTACTATCGAAAATTGTTTAAACTTACCCTTCGTTATACTATTTGGCCATTTCAGACCCTACCGTTATACTATGAATCACTTTTGCCCTTATTTTGGACGGAGGGACACATGGCAGTTCCTCATCAAAGGACCCACCCCAATTTAATCTACCCGATTCACAATTCAACTACCCATAATCCGACCCGTTCTTTTTGCTTTTGATGCCCTCTTAACGTGGCCGTCGTTTCGGCACCGATGCAACCACCAGTTGCTGCTACTCCAAGCTGGCCACCTCCCTCACCACACTCACCTCGGCCTCTTTACTCTCACTTGGTCTCCCAACCTGCAGATCTTTTCACATCTATTTTTTCTCAACGGTTCTGATGAAGTTCGCAATAATACTATGATTTCTTCTCCTCATCTATCCTCCACCAGTACACCTTCTTTCCATCTCCACATAAATCCCTTATTTTTTTTAGAAGAAATAGGGGTCTTAAGATGTTAACAACAAAGGAGATAACAAAGTTCACATTTTTGGGGATCTTTCCAAAACTAAAGCAAATTTCGTTGGTACAGAGAGAGAAATCTCCATTGATTGCATAATAGGGGAAGATCCAAGGTTGTATTTCAGCATGGACAGCAAAAAGGTATTGCAGATTAAGCACTTGAAATGAAAAATCAGAGGCAATGAGAGGATTGAAGTTGATGGGTTTTATGGAATGTCATAACTAGTTGTTTGAAGATAACAAAAATGGTTATACTTTGTTGATGTTCAAAATTCGAGAAATCAAGTTATGACGATGTTGTTGATGTCCACAACTTGAATAATGGAGTTCAAATGTGGTCCCAACAATATTGTGGGTTCGGGTTCGAGACGAAGTTGATGAAGAATTGTTTATTGAGAAGTTGAAGAAGCTCATCTTCTTCGTCTCTATCTTCGGCATCTTCGAGGTGTACAACTCTGTTATGGAATGGCCCAGCACTGAAGAAAATGAATTGAAGGGTCTTTTGGATTTTCCTTGTTGATACATGCTTGGAAGAGATGAGCAAATTAAGTTCCAAGCAAGGAAATTAAAACTACATTTGTCTTCATTCACTAGCGGGTCGGGTTATGGGTAATTGACTTGTGAACCGGGTAGATTAAATTGGGGGTGGGTCGTTTAATGAGGAGCTGCCACGTGGCCCTCTATCAAAAATAAGGGCAAATGTAATTCATAGTATAACGGTAAGGTCTGAAATGGCCAAATAGTATAACGAAGGATAAGTTTAAACAATTTTCAATAGTAAAGGGATATATTTGACCCTTTTCCGTATTTTTAATAGAAGGACATATTCCTTGATTTTTCTATATTTGTTTTATGTTCTCCTAAAAGGGGAATGAGAAGATTTTTTACTCACCTGATATCTCTCCTCGCGAATAAAAGGAATTTACAGAGAGACATTTTTTGCAATTTTAAACTATAGACAAAATTATTATTTCTTTCATTTTAATTTATTTGGTACTATTTGACTAGGTACTTAGAGTTTAAAAATAAATAAAATATTATTGACACATAAGGTTAATATGTAAATATTATCACATCTAGTGAGGGCATACATATCATATCAACCCTCATAAGAATATCTTCTTTAGGAAAAAGTATGAATATAAATATTAGAGATTTTTAAATTAAAAACCGTTATTCTTTGTGAGATGAACAAGAAAGAAATTGGTATCAAACGTATTGAGATAAAGAAAATGCTTAATTTTTCATGTGAAAAAAATTAGCACTTCTTAATTTTTAATTTTTATTTTTTTTATAATAACTGTGAATATTACCATTAATAACAAAATGAATACAAGCACTATATACATATATATAAGCCTCACCAATCGTTCCTTCTATATATTTGCTAGTATATGCTCTATGTCTCCTTCCTTAATTGCACATTCGTCCATTGTATGAGATGTGATCTGACAATCTTTCACTAGTGACATTCTACAAACAAGTGCTTGTTTGTCTCAACAGCTTGGGCCTCACATAAGCAACAGTATACAGTCTCCACATGCACATGTATTTTTAGCAACCTCTCCTTTGTAAGCAGTCTTCCTTGTGGCTCTAACCACATTAAAACTTGTGCTTTGGTTGTGCAATTGCAGTTGCAGTCTATTTATATCTTTTTGCAATGCCTTATAGCTCCTGGTAATTGAGTATTCTCCTCCATTACTTTTGAAAGCATTCTAGTTTTCTGCATTTCTTTAAAGATACCTAATTGGAAAAGTCCCCTGAGCGAATAGTGTCCTGGCTATCAGTTGGTTGCTTCTTAGTCAAGTCATCAACTCCTGCGTTTGAATTCTCTAGTGTGATACGGCTTTAACCACTCTTGTTACTGAAGCAAGATTGCCTTTGCAGAAGATCATATGAAATGAGTAAGTTTCAATTGCTTACACATGGGGTAAAATTGAAAATCACTCATGGTCTTCAACACTGTAGAGAGATATTCCAATACTAAGACAGAGCAATTGAGACCACTTTTCTTAGACCTCTTTTCCCTATTCACTTTTACTGAGAACCTTGTATACTGAGACATAGGGACCACTTTTCTTAGTCCTTTCTTTAGCAATTTATAAGTCTCTCCACTACTTACAATATTTTACAACTTTCTGTCTGCACTTCCCAACCAGCTTTCCCCATATCTACAAATTCAGGATGCTGAGCCACCCATTATAATATTTAAAGGACCTCTTACTCCTAAAAATTATGTTTATTTTTAGATTTTTTTTTCTTTTTCTATTGTACTAGTATTCGTGCCCGCGCGTTGCGCAGGAATACCGTATACATAAAGAAATACAGTATACGTAAAGGAGCATGAAAGAATTTCGATTTTGCGGAGTTTGAACATTCATAAAAAGCTGGATGGGTTCTACACCTTCCATTTACATGTCTTTAAAGAGTTTCAAAGCTTCATCAAAATTTTCATTCAACACATAACCATCAATAATTGCTGCCTAAGAAAAATATTTTTATACTTCAACCTATTAAAAGTCTGCCTTCCTAGTTCAACCCTGAAACTTTTCGAATACATAAAAATGCAGCTCTTTTCCATGGTACCGGTTCTTCTTAACATCTCCACACAAAGAAAGATTGTAAATGCATCAAATTTTCAAACTTCAAATTGCAACTCCTTAAAAAACATAATTTATCATTCAAAATTCTGTCTTTACACCCTTATACCTTAAAATCACAACATTAAACGACAATATATTCAGGTGCAGCATTTCACGAGATTAATAAAGAGATGCCAATGGCACATACCTGAAGCACACGCTGAACTTAAAAGAACCGGTTTTCACCAAGAGTCTCAAAGGACTAACGAACATTTACATCTTAACATGGAATAGAATTTCTTGAGATCAAGTGCACCAATTAATGTTAATGAGGAGAGACATGTACTTGAATATGTTATTGCGAAAGATCATTTATTTCACAAACTGACACCTGATAAGAAATCAACAATAGAATAAATACATTAAATAGGAATACCTCAAAGAAAACATTGAGCGTGAATAAATTTTTACAATAAAAGGGAGTAGATAAAGAATATTATGTAATAATGCTGAAGCATATTTTTGCTTAAGAGAAAATGTACAAATTTTCACGTTAAAATGGATGTCTTTCCACAGTTATTATAACATGGTATTTTGAACAAAAAAATAAATAAATAATGAAGGACATAATGTGAAGAGTGAAGTGGAGCCGAATTTAGTTGTTTTGAGAGTTTGCATAGACAAATTCATAAGTTAAAACCTCCTTAAGCTCTTATATGCATTCAAATTCGGCTGTAAAAAAAAACTTATCACACAATAAAAATCGAACAACTG